GAAGGAGAACAATAAACGGTGCAGAGCAAATATAGGATCTGAAAGGCTACTGGTGGAAGAAATAGAGAAATAAAAACAGGGAGGGGGGAAGTAATGCACATGTACAGAGCGGAAGAAATTGTGCTCGTGATGGGCTTGAGCATGGCAAGTCGCTCCTTCTGAGTGCAAGAGTCACAGGCCTGCTGCAGAACTGATCTGCTCTGGCTTTGGTACCCGATACAATGCTTGCATGTCCTTGTTTTCTGTGCCCAGAGAGAAGAGCTGGCTGGAGGTGGGTGCTATTCTGTTGGAGCTGGAGCAGTAACGTGAAAAAGGGGAAAGTTTTGTGACACTCAGAGATAAACAGGCAAACTTTGAACTATTGAAGAGATCCTAATTGCCTTTCAATTGGTACCACCTTTGACACCGTTTGAGTTCACTGTCTGCTGATGTAGCATCTCACCTTTCTGAATAGTGACTATAATGTTTATTGGTGTTCGTCAGCAGTAAAAAAAAAAAACTTGCAGTTGACATGTCTGTTCCTGGCCTTCTGCTTCTGGTCAGTAGGTGGGCGGCTCTGGGCCAAGTGAGCTGTGCTTTGTTCCCTGAACTGCACTTTTGATTTGCTCAGCTTATAATAGTCCCTCTGGCTGGGGTGTCAAAGACAGCCAAGGGTGGAATATGCTCAGATCCTTTGAAAGTGTCCCACTGGGGACTTCAGGTTAATTTGAGCTCACTCGGGTTGAAAGTGCTTGTGTTTTATCAGGATGGTAGCAGGTTGTTGCTGGTGTAGTAGAATACTTCAGTTCACGTCATTTCTGACATCTCTTTCTCCAAAACTTTTTTGCTGTGTCCTGCCTGGCTGTCCTCTGTGTGGATAAGAGCCGTGCATGCTCAGTTCACCAACCGTCGTCAGCCTCATGACAGCTTTCAGCATCTGTCCATCACCCAGAAATAACTCCCTTGAGCCACGCTTCTGTGACAGATGTGCAGTCAGCAATGTCTGCAAAACAGATGAGCACTAGGCTGCATTTTGCAAGCCCGTACCCTGTGGTGTTCACAGGAGCTGCCAGATCCAATTCTGGTGTCATTCCTAGTATCATGCCCTTCCTACCGTTTTGCATTTGTCAGGGCAAGGACTGTGTTGTATTTGCAATGGCTTGAAAATGATCTAGTCAGATGTACCCACTGCTGTATTCTGAGCCCAAAAGCCTATTGCGCACCTTCAAAAACTTTTTCACTTATAGCACTGTATAGGGGATGGTAAGAAGCAGCTTGTTGCTGCTGTGCTGAAGAGATGGTGTTATTGTCTCATGCCCTGCCAGGAGTGGGGCAGCCTGGAGAGCACGTGTAGGTGGTGATTCCAAGATTTGGCCCAACAGTTGGAGGCATAGATCGGTCTCTAAGATTGCAGTTCTTTCAAAAGAAAACTTAATGTTCGCTAGTCTGTGTGGGAATGTGCGCAGGGTTCTCTTGTAGATGAGGGGAGGTTCTACTGATTCTTGCGCTGATGCAGTCACCCCTCCATTGCTGACCTAGAATTTGTGAGAAAAGAGACAAACTGAGGAGTGACGGCATTGGTTCTGTCACCTCTTGCTGAAGGTTGATGAGGTCATTGTGGAAGTAATCTTACCTGCTCTACTGAGGCAAGGATTGAGAGGTGGCCAGCACAAGCATTGTAGGATAGGATAAGATAGTTAAGTTGGAAGGGACCTACAACAATCATCTAGTCTAACTGCCAGGTTGTAGCTTGGTGGACTTTGGGACCCTTTGTGAGACAGCAGAGGATCACTCTTGGATCTCGATGCAAAGCTTTGTGTGCGTTCCAAGTGCTTGAACCTGGGCTGTAAGTGTCAGACTTCTCCAGCAGAAATGAGGTTACAGCCACAAAAACTCCTCAGTTTTGCCATGCTTCTCAGGAGTATCCTTCATTTATTGCTTTTCTATCTCCTGTAGTTTCAGTATGGCTGAGCAAAAACCTTGTCCGGAGAGGAGTCTGTTCGTTGCTCAGCCTGCTTAACTCACCATTATTGTCTCCATCTGTACACATCTCTTGTCAGCATTTCTCAGCCTTTCCTCCAATATTATCAGTCTTACAGTCTTAGGTTTTCTGCTCTGCGGGATTGTTTTCTGCTGCCTTTCACTTCATTGGGCCTGTTAGTAATGACATGGGCTGGCATGATGCTCTGCTTCATGAAGTTCAGTGCATTGTCTGTAAAGAACAGTCTGTCCTTAGTTTGTTTTTTTTTTCCTTGTTCAAAGATTTAGAGATTTCCTGAGGAGTCTGCAGAAGCTGGAAGATTAGGAATGACCATCCCCTTCTAGGGAAGCAGATCAAGCAGGGTCTCTAACAGACGGTGACCAGACAAGTTTGCTATGAAAATAAACTCCATCAAAGGGATGTGATTGTAGCCATGCTGAGAGGAAGAGCTCCAGCCCCTCCTCTAGTAATGGGGATTGTGCTAAGTGAGTGTGACCAGCTTTGTCTTAGTTGTATAGCTGAGTGTTGCTTTGGTTCAAAGCAAAGGACAGGACCTTAAGGGTTGAACCAATGCTGATACTTTATCAACTTCTTTTAATCTTAATTTTAATTAAAAGTTGATTAATGTATATAACTGCACCGAGCTGCCAAATAATGTTGGGCAACAGCAGGAAGCCTGTGTGAGCCAGCACCTCAACTGGAATCCATAGTCTAAAATTGGACCACCTTTTTTTTTTTCTTTTCCTGTGCCCATGAGTGCTATGCGGTAGTTAGATGTGGAGGGTGCAGCCTGTCTCTTGGGGACGGAGCAGCCCTATAATGAGAGGGACAAACGTGTATTGTTACAAGTGTGGAATGTGGGAAGGAAACACAAGGATTTGGTAAGAATAAAATAAGCAAACAGTGGCAGCCAGGAGCCCTGAAGGATAGAGGTTTGCAGCTCAGATAAGTGTGAGAAAACAGCGAAATGACTCCACTTTGCAAAGATCACAAGAGAGCCCTGCCAAGACCCGCAGACCCCCCGTGAGTTCCCCCAGGCACCGAGGAAGGGGCATGTACTCTCAGAGCGCGATTATTGGCCCCAACCGTGTGATCTGGCTGTGCTGCAGAGAACCTGAACTGAACTCTGGCTTAATCCTTCACCCCCAAACTTCCCTGCATGGGTGGCATGAGGCTTGGTTCCACTCTCTCCCCTTATCCTGCCTCTAGGATTTGCCAGGGTCGCCTTAAGAAAGGGTCTATCTCAACCTGGGCAAATACCGTCAGTCGTGGGCATGGCTCATGAACAACGGAGCATTTTTGATATGCCATGTTCTCTGCCATCACCTTCAGCATCCACGGCTGTGCTGTAACGGTTCCAGCCTGGGATCCTTGATGGGATCCTTGATGGAGGTGATGACAGAGGATCAGTTCTCCTGCGTGGCTTTCTCCCCTCATGAAAAACTAACAGCCCTGTAGGTTATTTTTAAAAGCCCATTCTTCTGCTTGTATTGTGTATGATAGCTGCCAAAGAGCTGGTCTCTACATGCTACCGGCTTGGCTGCATCTCCCTTCTAACGTCCCTGCTGACTGCTTCCATCTCTGCATGTCACAGTCTGCCCAGACATCATCCCCTTTCAAAGCTGAACACAAGATGTTGTCTGTAGCCCTGCTCAGCTCTTTTTTTGCCCATCATTCTCCACTCCCTGCAGTCCACCCTCTGGCATCTCAAGCTGGACGTCCTCCAGAGTACCTGTCTTCTTCCTTCAAAAGCTTCTGAAACCCATCTGTATAAATAGCTCAACTATATCCCTTCCGCTTACAGGTGGAGAGGGAGAATGTGCCCTCTGTCACACAGTCTGTTTTTCTGCTTGACTCCACTGATCTGGCTTGAATCAATTTGCAAGCTTCTCTGGTCATGGACAAAACCCAGGAAACACAAACTAACGCAGCCTGACAACCTAACCCTTAAAATGTATTGGAGGTCCTCTCCCGAGCTGTTTCCTTCTCTTTCTTGCTCTTTATCTGAACCCCTTCTAGCGTGGTGAGCTTTTAGGAAGCCTTAAACTTCTGGTAAAGGCTTTTGGTTGGGACTCTAAGGTGGTGATGCAGTACCAGGCCAAGCCACACAGTTCTGCTGTGACCTTGCAAACATCCCTTAAAATCTTAATATAGCACTAAGAGCTCCTTCTTCAGGAGTTGCACAAAGAAAAAACAGAGGTGCAATTAAGAGGTGTGCTGGGCACAGCACTGTCCCTCCTTGTGTGTCCGAGTTCCAGCCTGGGGTTGCTGAAGCTGCTTGGGAGAGCTCCGAGGGGAATTTTGGCATTGGAGAACAGTGTGTATCTGTAAAACATATTATATTAGATTACTGAAGAATGATCTGTTTGTTCCCCTTATCTTTAAAGTGTGTCTATATAGCTTGACCCAGGAGGGGGCTGGCTGCCGTTGCTGGATACTCCTACAGTGTGAACAGGTAGAATTGGTCTGTCCCTCAGCTGTGCCTTTAAGCAGCTCTGGAGCTAAGCCTGGGATCCTGGAGGAGTCACAAGCAAGTCCACCCTTTTGGAAAGGAAGCAGTTAAAGTTGTCAAGTTTGCCAGGAAATTGAATAAACTAGAAGCAGTGCTTAAGTCTCATGATGACTAGTTCAGACCATTCAGTGGAGACCACGGTTAGAGCCAGTGAACAGTGCTGTAGTGTCTGCAGACTCCCTGCTTCCCCTCCCACCTCCATTTACAGCACTTTTAAAAAAAAAAAAAAAAAAAAAAAAAGGATTGGGCTTGAGACCACAAGCTCAGAGCCAGTGGAGCTCAAACAGTCTGCCAGCTGGACTGCTGTAAGTAGAGCACTGATAACTTTTGGTTGCCTTTTCCATTACTTATGTGTTTTATATGTAGCATTGCTTTGTGTCATGCAGGACGGAGACGTATGTGATGCGCAAGCAAGAGATCTTTGCCTTTCCAACTTGCTATTTTAATCTTTTTCCCTTGGATTTCTGTCAGGAGCTTTCATTTTAATTCTTAGTAAATCTTACCAGGTCTTTTTCACTTCTTCTTCAGGTGAAGAGAGAGGCTTCCTGACCTCGTTCTTGCTACCAAAAGCGTTGGTGAAGAGACCCTAGGTAAGAGTCACTCCAGCTGCGTTGAGACAGAAGTCTGGAGGCTTCTGTGCAGGAGCCGGCCCCATCGACACGGCTGGCGTGCTTGCTACCACTGTGTGCTGGGCCACTGCAGCAAGCACCATCTCTGTTGAACAAGTAACTAGTGTAAAGGAGACTGAAGGGCTGTTTTTTAAGGCTCCAGTCCTTTTGGGCAGAGCCTGTGGAATTACTTTTATTTCTTGCTTTTTCAGAACTGGTGTGGGAAAGATGAGGCACTGCTTTGAAGGGAAGAGCTTGCTTCTCTAGCGGGCATTGATTTAGGGCTTCGTTGTTAATCCTGTTAGACTTCTGATTTGGAAAGGGGCTTCGTTCCTTTTGAATGTGACTTTAAGGACGCTCTGTTTGCACACCGTGTTTCAGACCAAGCTGATTTGTAAAGTACTTTCTGGGAGCCTGGCAGATCTTTCCCATAGTCTGTCTTGTTTCTGCATTAAAAGGTGTATCTCCCTTGGGTGTCTGGAAGGCTGTTTGCTGCAGGAAAAAGTCTGTGATTTACTGTGGAGTGGCAGGATTCTGGATTAACAGGGCAGAAGCAATAGACTGGGAAACTGTGGGGGAGATTATGTATAATGGCAGTCATCTTATGGCTGAGACCTGCTTGAGAAAACTGCTTCGTGTTTGGCATCTCAGCAGCTCGTTTACCTGTTGTTTCTGTTGTGCACTGGCATAAGGTACCTATCTTTCCTCCCCTTCTCTGTGCCCTGGAGTTATGAATGGCTTGTATGTGTGAGATGAGGCAGCACTGGTTAAATATGGGTGGAGGGTGAAAGTAAGTCCTAATGCTGAACTTGAGCTAACAGTTTTTTGTTGTCAGATCCTGCTCCTGGCTGCACACCTCCCTGAACCAGCTTGGTTTGCTGAGCTGCCAAGGTGGCATTGCAGTGGAGGGATAGAAACCTCTATCTGAACAGAGCCTACCTATGTGCTGAGGTCGGTCCTGCTCCAAGATGATGGCTTAAAGTAAGAGAAGTCCTGCGTGTAGCTCTGAGTCTTGCTGTTTTCCTTAAGAATTTGAGGGGTCATGAAATGGAGGCTGTGGCTACTCTGGCCTGAGGTGACAGCACCGAGAGGGAAAGAAACAAGCCCTGGAGAGAAGTTCCTCATTCCTCTCTCCTGTCCCACCCTGTTTGTTTTCTTATGTGGTACTACTGCAGAGTACAAAAAAATCCTTGTGTGTGTGCATCCCTGGTAACAGTGCAGCATCGAGGCAGGTGTACCATCTGGTCTGTGCCCTCCAGATGTGCAAATGCTTCAAAACACCTGAGCCTGCTGCAGCCACAGTCTGTTCCGGATCCCCTCTCCAGGGCGTGCTCAGGAATCCACTCCAATGCCTCTCTTTCTCTCTGTGCAAACATGTGGAGCAGGCAGCAGTCGAGAGATCAACTCACCCATTCAGACAAAAATACCTGCTGCTGAAGTGCTGGGTTTGCACAAGACTAAACCTATTTAAAGAATTTGCGATAATAGAAACTTACGTGCGTGGATTTTTTCCTCCAGGTGTGTAGTCAGACTTGTTAAAAACAGCGCCCTTCTTTTCGTGATACGCACAGCTCCATGTCAGTTAGCTTGTCTCTTAAGAGTCTGCACAAGCAAACCAGACATTTGCAGCTTGAAATATTACACAGCCATTAACCTGTTGCTGCTGCTGCCCTAGATACTGTTTTTTACCCCAAGGCACAGGCAGAGGCCTCCTAAGTTGTCACTCAGAGACTGATTCTACTGAGGTGTTCCACTGGAAGCGATTTATTTTTAAATGGAAATTTATCCACGTGTTGGTTACCTTTAGTAACACAAAAGACAGCTGAAGTGGCTCAGTCTAGGTTATTTCCTCTTATGCCACTTAATATCCCATCCTTTTCAGGTTTTCATAAAATGTCTTTCAGTGTGGGGTAACTGCAGTAGGGGGTTGGATTTGGCGTTGGAGCACTAGTATAGTAGGGTGGGAAGGAGCTACACAGGTGAGCATCAAGCATACGCTTTGTAGCCTGTACCAAGACACTGCCCATCCACATGCAGCCACTTGTGAATACTTGACCTTGTTGTTTGTTAATACACTGTAAATATCTAGAGAACACATCCCCTATTTCTCCCTTTCTGAAGACCAGTGATGATAAATTAGTGAGAAGTTGAACACAACCCAGCTACGAAGGGAGTTTTTAATCTGGTAAACAGCCAGGGCTTCTGTGGAGCGTATTGGAACCTGCAGAGTTTGGCGGGAGGATGAAATCCTCAAATGAATAAATAATTGAATTGGACAGTAGTCACTAGCGAGAATGTTGCATCCAAAGCAAAAGCAATGTATCAGTCAACTGAAAGAAGAAGGGGGAGGAGACGAGATTTTGGCTGGGGGAGAGGGGAGGTTCTTACGTTACTTCTTTCCTCTTGCGGCACACTTATCTTTGATCCCGTGGTGTAAAGCACTTTGGCTGTTCTTCTTCCTTCCCTGCTGCAAAAGACAATTTGAAGTTTGTGTGTCTTGGCAGAGGATTCCTTTCCCAAGCGTTTGTATTTTGGGACTTCAGTTCTAGCGCTTGAACATTTCATCTCTGGAACAGTATAATCTTCAAAGCTATGCTATATGAAAATCACACCATTTGTTCTGCAGGTATGCTTTGGTAATGCTTTTCTGTGTCAGGTGAGCTGCTTCTTACATCAATCTCTCTCTTTTTTTCCCTCCCTCTGAACATTTTTCTGAGCTGTTTTTCTGATCTTAATATTTAAGCGCAAATTGGGGGCAGAGTGAGCTAAAAAATATTAGCAGAAATATGGACAGGGAACATTCTGCTTTTAGCCAGTGCCATTAGATTATATTACAAGTTAACTTTCCAGGGGAGTTATTGTGAAGTTGTCTAATGCAATAAGAGATTGGCTACAAACTTCATCTGCACAGAGATGCAGAAAATACCTGAGCTGTGTATTGCTGGTGTAGCTTATAGCAGCTGACTTGGGTGCATACAGGTGCTTACCTGCATTATTTAATTTCAGTGTCTGCAGGGTGTATTAATTCTTTCTCTTGAGTTCTTTCCCAGCACTGCTGACTTAGTTTCCTTATCTTCCCCAAATCTTTGACTTCTCTCGTTGCTCTTTTTAATTTAACTCCAAAGCCTTTTGAGATCACCCCCTGCCACTGGTGCAAGGCTGCACTGGCAGTCGTGTTCTGGGCCACCGGTGATTCCTGCACAGTTGTGTCATAAGGTCACTGCCACAAACTGAACCAGCTCCACCATCACCTGGTTGCCATTTGGGGTTTTGTTTGTTAGTGCTGCTTTCAGTTTAGAAAGCTCTTGTAGTTTCATTTCACCTTTCCAATCTAAATGTATTCATACCTATCTGTTCAAACACCATATTGTCTTTTAGCTTAAAAAGCCCTTTTTTCCCAGTTGTAAACACTCCTGAGGATTTGTCTGGAAGGAAGTACATCTCCTCTCTTTTTTTTTTTTAAACTTTAATTTGATTGAGTGTCTGTACTTTGGTTTTTATTCCACTTGGTTTTACTTGAGTGCTGGCCTAGACTAGGAGGGTACACAGTATTCTAGACAGGGTCTAGTACAGCAGTGTTGGTACTTACTTACTTTAGTGGTATCTCACCTGGACTATACTAGGGTTGCCTTTGCCTCTCTCTGTCACGCTGACAGATGCTGTCGTTTCAGGACTGACTGGTATTCCCAGGTTGTTTTCTCTCCTGTTGCTGTTTCCACGTGGTGACTTTTCATTTCACACCAGAAATTGTCCCTGGTTCCATCCCAAGCTGTGCTGGGGTGCAGAGCGCAGAAGCCATGTCCGCATCTAACCACGAGGTGTATTTTTATTTTTAAACATAGTGTGTCCAGACATACCTGATTTGCAGTAACCAGATTAGGGATTTGGACTGGCGGCCTTTTGAGTGTTTCTCTCATTGTGTGTAATGTGATTAGAGGGGAGATGTGACAATGTAAAGCTCATGGAAACGAAATTGGATTGCCTGTGGCTATTGCAGACCTTTGCCTGGTAATAGGTCTTGTACCACCTAACATGATTTCTTTGTTAAACATGTTCCCAATAAAATGCGTAACTGTCAATTAAGGGAAATATTGTAATCTGATCCTTTACTATATACAATTTAAAACAGGGCTTGAGATATTTTTGCCTCTTGCATGACTGCAATTGAGAAGAGACTTGGGTTTTTTCCTCTTACAGATAAGAAATGTTCCTTTATGCTGAGCACTTGTCGCCATGTGCTACCTCAATCAGATTAGGCTGCCTTTCTGGCAAGAATGTTTAGGATGGTGCAGAAATACGATGATGTAAAGCTCAGAGGGACACACCTCCTTTAAACTGTCCTGCTCGCTTTGCTGTGTGTTCTCTCTAGTCAGAGTGCAGGACCATGAGGATGCTCCAGAAGTTTATCCAGAGGCAGTAGTTCTCAGTGACTTAGAGTATTTTCTCTTGCAGTAGCAGCAGAGAAACCATATTCTGTTTAGAAAAGTGCTTCTTTTGTTTTGTTTTGTTTTGTTTTTCAGGGTCCCACTTTTCTACGTGCCTTTTTGAATATCTCTGTCATAAAGATGTCTCACGATCACCACATGAACGGCTCCATGTTGCCAACCATGCATCCTCCTGAACATCACCACTCAATGGCAGCCCCAGGACATGGTCATGGATCTGACATGATGATGATGATGGTAAGTGAAGAAGTCATAATTAACCAGAGAGCTTTTCCTTGTCTGTGGTTCAGAGTAACTTGTCATCTTAAAGACTATGCTTTTGAGAATCAGAAATTAAACTTAGCTTTGGAAGGCATGAATCAATCCAGTTAAAACACAGACCCCATTGTGGCTCTTCTGGAATGAAGGAATGGTATGAGGTGGTATGCAACATGAAATGTATTTCAGAGCTGGAGATCCTTTGGCAAAATTGTCTTTTCTTGCAAAAACCTTTCTAGCAGCCAGCCTGGTGTCTGCTTTCTAGCCAGCTAAAGGCAGAAATGCAAAATAAGCATTTTCCTGCAAGAAACAGAGATGGATGGAGTTCTCCAGGCTGTTAGTGTTAGCAAAAGCCTTAACTGGCACCGAGAGGATTGCACACTAGTATGATGGATTGTGCTGACCTGCAGGCGACCAACCTCTGTGCCCTTTTCCTCCTGAGCTTTTAAGTATGCACTCGGTTTGGGGAGTAAAGTGCTACCAGGGCTCTTTGCCACGTTGGCCTTAAGGCTGTGTTGGTCCTGAATCCTGCTGCTCTAGCTAACTTCGATTTAAACAAGCTCAGACTTATGCATGCTGGCATCACTGAAGCTTTGCAGAGATCCTGGCCAGAGCTTCCATGGAGATGACCGTAGGATCTGTTGTTTGTGTGTAGCCAGTTCTAGGGAGTTTTTCAGCTTTTTCTCCCTTTTCTAAATACTTCTGGAGTGAGTTTCAGATTATTAAAATATGGTTAAACTTTGAAAGGAGGGGAGAGAGTGTGCATTTCCATTTCAAATGAGAATATACTCAGGAGTATATTTTGCAAGCCTCCAGTTAAAGTTTGCCTGCCAGCTGTGTGCCCCAAAGAAGGAATCAAGAATGAATGCTTCTACTTATATTGCAAACAGTATCATAGCAGGAGAAGAGAGGACTAGAACAGCCTTCCCCTTTGTGAACATGGCCCAGTACAAAGCCCAGTAGTGCTGGTGGAACTTGCAGACTCACTGATGTCCTTGTGAAGCTTTTCATATAATCTAGCAGCTAAGTATTGGCATTCTCTGATCCGTTACTTTCCATGTACATGCCGTTTCTTTACAAGTGTCAAGTGCTCTTATCTTCAATGGATACTTACAGGACCCTGCCTTACCCTGCAACTGAAAACTGTGATTAATTGCACAAGATTTTGAATTAACATTGCACATAGCGCTGTCAGGGAAGGAAGTAAATAGGTACAGCATCTTAGATAATAGACTGAACACATTTTAATGCATGCATATTCCCATTCCTCACTTGCACCAAGTAACAGGCTCTGTTTCAGTTGTGGTTTATGGAACTAGGCTGTAGCACTCTTTGGTTTGTGCAGTTTTTGTTTTAAATGTAAAAATGTTAAATTCGTTAAAGAAATGGAAGTACTCTCTAAAAGATGTTTTATAGTAATTTCTGCTCTGGGGGTAATGAATGTCTGCTGATTCTTAGGGATGCTGAAAATAGTCATAATTCTGAACTTCAGCAAATAACCTTAATTAAGCAATGAGGGGAGTTCAAAGAGAAGTTCCTCTAGCTTAGTGAGTACTTTACATGTGAAAACACTGTATGCAGCTGTGGTCAAGACACGCTAAACTGCAATGTATTTACCTGGATGGGAAGATTATATGAACTCCAGCTGGCCGGGGTATCATTGATGTCTCTCCTTCCCACAGCATTCACCATGCAGGTTCAGGAGCCCTTATTTTCACCCAGAGGAAGCTGTGGTCCTGCTTTATATATAATACTCCTTGTTGTACCTGTATTTAGGCCTCTATTTTCCATAGGATATTAGGAGCTTCTGTAGGGAGACAATAGTCTGCTGGCACGGTGCAGGATGGGACCAGAGGATTCAGCTATACAAGCCCTTATCTGTATGAGATCTTATGAGGTCAAGACGGGGAAAAGAAAGTGCCCTGTGCCCCAGCCCATGAGTAGTCATGAGGAGGCAAGGATGAGCTCCACAGAGACATCCCCAATCCCTGACTACTTCTGAGGCTGAGGAGAAAAGGAGCTCCAAAAGCAAGGAGAAGGCACTTTTCTGTAGCAGGTTCTGTGAAGGACAGTGCCTTCTGCCCAGGGGGCACTGCCTAAAAGAGCTGTCCACTAGAATCGGAACCTGGAGCATCTTTAGCCGTGTCTCGCTTGTGTGTGTTACGCTAGATTTACTGAAGAGTTTCTTCGAGTCCATCTGGTGACCAACTGAAATGATCTAAGTTCTTGTCATAATACAAAAACCTTTGCTAAATCTTGTGAGCTCCATCTCAGGATGAGCTATTCAGGCTCATCTCGATGTTCTTTATGTTTTGGGCAGGCAATGACTTTCCACTTCAGCTATGAGAATGTGCCATTGCTGTTTTCTGGACTTGTAATCAATACTCCTGGAGGTTAGTAAAACTGTCTTGTCCGGTCCAAACAAAAAATTTGCAATTGATTAATGTTTCAGGAATTACCTTGCTACTTACGCCAAAAACATGCAGGCACACTGCGTTGAGTCTGTTTTAAATGGCATCTGTGGGGTGAAAGAAGGGAGATGTTCGTATAGTTTGAGAATTTGACTGGTCTTATTAGCAAAAGTGATTGCTGGTTTCACTTCATGGGTGAAATTCCAATTAGCGTGTGGATGAAATTCGCATTTACCATCTGTACATGGGTGCACACAGTGCCCAGCCATAGGCTGTGCAGTGTGACGCGGTTGTTGAATCACACAGTGTCTCTTCTGACATGTTTTGAAGCAAATGTCTTCTGTTGCACAGATATAATAATGTTTCCTCTTTTGTCAGAAATGGCTGGTGCTTTTGTGGCTGTCTTCTTCCTGGCCATGTTTTATGAAGGCCTTAAGATTGCCCGAGAGTGTCTGCTCCGTAAATCCCAAGTCAGCATTCGCTACAACTCCATGCCAGTGCCAGGTCCCAATGGCACTATCTTGATGGAGACGCACAAAACTGTTGGGTAAGAATTTCACTTCATTCTAAGACAAATTTCTTCAGCAGCTGTCAAAGGCGAAAACTGGGACAGAAAAAAATTTATGCAGCCAGTATTACTCTCTGCAAAGTATACTGACACTCCAGACTGGGACACTGCGTGACACTGGAGGACACTGTGCTTGAGTCACTTGGCCACCCTTTAGGATGGGGGACAAAAGGAGGAAGGCAGCAAGGAGTCAGATAAGTTTGTTTTTTTCCCCAGAGCAGTAACGAACACATTTGGGGAGTTTCCAGGAACAGAATTTGGGTGTTATAGCCAGCGACCCTGACAGAAAATACTTAGGATTACTCTCTGAAAGTATACTGACACTCCAGACTGGGACACTGCGTGACACTGGAGGACACTGTGCTTGAGTCACTTGGCCACCCTTTAGGATGGGGGACAAAAGGAGGAAGGCAGCAAGGAGTCAGATAAGTTTGTTTTTTTCCCCAGAGCAGTAACGAACACATTTGGGGAGTTTCCAGGAACAGAATTTGGGTGTTATAGCCAGCGACCCTGACAGAAAATACTTAGGATCCTTCTGTTGACAGATAGTCAAAGCCTCTACTCAGAAAAGAAGCCATTCTGCTTATTGGATGTGGGGGTAAAGTAAGCTTGTAGAAGTCTGTTTCTCAGCTAAAAGTTTTGTCCTCCCAGCAAGTACCATGCTTTCTTTGTTATCAGTCAGCTCTGTGGGGAAAAACACGGTTACAAGTGACAGATGCATGCAGAAGTCTATGTCCAGCCTGCTTTGTTATCTCCTCTGCCATTTCCTGCTCACCTTGGCATCCTGTCAGCCTAAGAGCTAAGGTTTCTCTTCGGAGATGTGCATTTTCCTGCCTGTGTCTCATGGATGCTGACTGTTCTTTGGGTTTTGTGTTCTCAGACAGCAGATGCTGAGCTTCCCTCACCTCCTGCAGACTGTACTGCACATCATTCAGGTCGTGGTCAGTTACTTCCTCATGCTGATCTTCATGACGTACAATGGATACCTCTGCATAGCTGTGGCGGCAGGGGCAGGGATGGGCTATTTCCTCTTCAGCTGGAAAAAGGCAGTTGTTGTGGATATCACGGAGCACTGCCATTAACATCGGATGCTGCCCAGAAGCTTCTGCACCCCACTGCTCTCTTGAAGTGCAGCCATCACGAGGACTGGATCGTTCCTAAGCTGAAAGAGAAACAATATAAAGAAAATCAACTGGACTTCACCACAAATTCCTAGCTGGGGTGTAGGGATGTGAGGATCTGGGGTATGCTGCTCCCCCTTGCTGCAGGCTGGCAGCAGGGTTGACTCTTGAGGGTCCTGTGGTAGCCATTCTTGGCTAGGATTTGCTTTATTCTTAGATTATGCCGTGATTGAAATTAGTTGGCTGACAGAAATGTAGAAAATATTCTTTTTTAAAAAAAAAAAAATTTTAAATTTAAAAGCTCATCTGTGAGGGTTTTATGAACCGTAGGTAAAGATCAAAGTTGCCAATGGAGCCCATGTGTGTGAATGGCTATTTTAATTTTACTTTTTTTCAATATGTACATAATGCCAAGGGAGGAGATCTCCCTGGCATTGTAGCTTTTGGGGCCAATGACACCTTCTGTTGCAGAAGGACTCAGCCTCTGAGGAAGATTTGGTGCTGCACATCAGACAAGCTCAGGTGTGTCCTGGCAAGGGAGTACTTTGACATAAGTATGTGACTCGTGCTTCAGGGGGGTCTAGATGAGTCCGTCCTCCAAGCCCATCAGAGTATGATGACTGTTGTTAATCTTCTGATGTATCCAGCAGCTTTACACAGCTTCAAGTGGTAACATACGGTTTGGCTGCTTCCACTTCACAATCATGGAAATACACAGAGTAGACAGAGGATGACAATTGTGTATTTACAGGGCAAAAAGATTTTAAATAAACCATTGAACCCGCATTTACTTCACGTTGAATTGCACCTGGATGGATCTAGAACTAGGCTTTTGGTTTACTAAAACTAGTTCTGTAAATGAGACAAGAGCTAAATAACGATTTCATGACACTAAAGGTTAAAATGTCTGAAGAGGGCATTCCTTGATTGAGATGAAGGAAGTAAACCAACAGTGTATGAAAGAGGCAAAGTTATTTTCATGGAAAAATTCTAGTCACCTCCTGATGAGAGATAGGAAAAGCTCTTCCCCAGTCTGATCTTTGAAGGGAGTTATGTCTGCAATGGTCTGCAGAAGGACATACTGGTGCCCTCTCTCTGCATCTATCATGACGGTAAAAATCTCTGAGCCCTCTAAGCAATCAGGCCTCTCTGTGAGAGTGGAAAACAGACCCTTCCAACCCCTGTGTGAGAGCTGTGAGGAAATCGTAGTGCTTGTCAGAGAAAATTGAAGCAGTTAAGTGCTGGAGATGGTTGTTTATGTTTTGAAAGCTTTACACTTCAGGGGCTTGATCCCTGAAGGAGTTCAGAGCCAACGTTGCCGACACCGCTCTGATTGGTTTCTCTTGAACGAGATGGAGTTGTTGCTGTTGCAGGGATGTCTGATTATAGGGTATAGTCACAAGTGGCTTTGTGTGATGACACTAGTTACTTCATGTACCTCTTGCTGTGTCTTTCTCTAAAATGAACCTCTGCTTGGCCTGATCTTCTCTCCATCACCTTTTAGCCACCTTTCCTTGTAGTCAAGTGACCAGACTTGAAGTCTCCGATTCAAGCGATCAGAGATGAATGACTTGGAGATTAGGCAACAGCTGTGGCTTTTACAATATAAATTCGGTTCTCTTGTTAGCTTTTCTGCCTCATTCTACGTGTAGCACCTGTGCCCTTGAAATTGTTTCTCCCCCCGAGGATGAGTACCTCTGTCTTGAAAGGGTCATCTCCTGCCCACGCTCACACAGGAGAGGGCACACAGCTTTCTCCAGCGTGCAGAGAGGGAAGTGATGCTGACCTAGCAGCAGTCACTTGGGGAGCAGGAACCCGGGCAGAAATCTCCCAAGTGTCTAGCAAGTGCCCAAGCTACCTTCCAGCAGCCTGTAAGAATGATGGTTTGAGCATTGGGCAGTACCCGAGTTAGAAATGAGAGCCCAGGCTGGGCTTTGGGGAGAGGTGCACAAGGGAAGGTCTGAAGGGAAGGTGGTTAAGGAGAGAAGATGGAGGGCTGTGTCCTCTCTGCTTCTGGGCTCGCTGATACAGCGAGGCACAACTGAGAAAGGGACGTTTCCAGTCCATGTCTCCCTGCCAGCTTTGGCCATGCTTTCTTTTGGTTCAATGTTGACAATCCAGAGAAGCCACCTACCAGCCTCCCCCTGGTCCACCAGATGCCACCGGCTGCCGTGTTCTTGGCCCAGGTTGCTGTTTGCTTTGCCAGAGTCTGAGCAAAACCTGGCCTCCCTACTGATGACTTGTACTGGCTGCTTTTGGGGCAGTCCCAGCCTTTCTGGCGGCTGTATTTAAAGTTGTCCTGATAACGCTAAACTCGCATTAGGTAGTGCTTGGAGGGAGGACTCTAATGATTGTAAGACTTGAGTAAATTAAGTTCGTATGTCAACACACATGTAGCATGCTTGGAACGTGATGTCCTGAGTCTGTCTTTGTACCCCAATGTTTGGTCTCCACACGCTGTGCCTCTGGATTATCATCTTGGAACAAGTGCACAAAACATCCGGGCTGTGTTCATCAGCTGGCTTTTGTTGTTTTTCTTTGAGTGCCTTTTCAGTTTGTCTGGAGCCAGTCCCACCAAATCCAGCAGGATTTCTAGTTTTGTTTACAGTGGACTGTCAGTTTTCTTTTTACTCTTGCTCTTTGTGGCGGTAACTTGTCTAATGTTACTGTGAATATCAAGAATCTCCTGTATATAATTAACCAATAAAATAGATTGCATTTTACTGTGGTGGATGTGTGTTCTGGAAACAATCCTCAGTGCAGAGACTGCAGCTGAAGTGGAGGCTGGCGGCTCTTACCGCAGCATTCAGAAAGAGACTCCAAGAGTGCGTGCCTGCTTTTATTAGCAAGAGGCCCCGCAGCCAGGCGACTCCAGCCTGGCCTTCCCCAGCCCCTTTTCTCTGGCACAACTCTTCTGTGCCTGCTCCGACGGTGCGAGTGAGCAGCGGGGGCTGAGTTTCCACCTTCAGGTGGTTGGGGATGGGAGCGAGGAGCAGCGTCCTCTGGGCCCATCCCAGCCACGAGCAATAAGCCCTGAAGCTGCTGGAATGGGAATGCAGGAAGTCGCTGATGCACGAGTCACCGTTTCTTTCAGTCCTTGTTACACTTTGCAGAGTGTGGGGGAAGCCGAGATGGAAAGAGGAATCGATCTGCTTTCCCCTACGGAGGGAGGAGTCGAAGGGCAAGAGTTTTAGGGAGCTGTAATAATGAGCCCCCTCGGTGCATGGAAGGTGTCTTGTGTACAGCAAGGAATACCGGTCTCCCTCACAGAGTCTTACTCTAGACTGTATTTATCCACACAAGAGAAATGAGGGGCTGGGTTGTTTTTTCTTCCCCTGTGCAACCAAAGGATGTCTGGAACCTGCCAAGATGTTTCCCTGTCGGAACTGGGGCATGCTGGGAATGCCTGAATAGCAGAGCAATCCCTGACAATTTCATGTGGTGTTAGACTGGAAAAGCAGCTCTGCTCTAGGCCAGTCTGTGGCTCTTTCCAGTTTGAAAAGTTTTAAGTTCTGTTCATTTCCCCAGCCTGACCTGAAATTTGATACACCTACAACACGGGAAGCAAGAATTTAACAACTCTGGTTTTGAGCATTGCTTGAGACACTGAAAAAAATATAACCAATCGCTGTGCTGGAAGATGGTAGAAAACAGTCCCAGCCAGGAGCAGAGAGCGCCTCCGGTTCTATCTCTGAATTCCCTGAGGGTGACCTGGTGCAGGCCCCAGGGCTGCTGGCACCCTGCTCTGCCTCCTTCCCCGGGCTGGAGGGAGCAGAGTTTCTTAAACACCAACAAGCTGCTTCAGTTTTTATACCTTGCTTCCTTCAGGTCACCTCACTGCACGCTAGACGACTCCTTTCTGGGGCTCTGCATTATCTCACCTTTCAGTACGCGCCCAGCCAGCTGATGGTGGTACGAACCGCTGTTGTAAATCCAGGTGTGTGCCGGTTAGTCTGTCAGAAATCGATCCACCTTTCTGCTTTTTACGTGACGCCATCTGTAAGGGAATAGTTGGTGACCTTCGATCCGAGCAAGAGACATCGCTGGCAGCTACCTGAAACTCCATCACAGGGTGACAAACCAGTGCAGCTGGGGTGACGCACTCCCCAGGGCTGAACGGGAGTGAAACGGGGAAGCGTAAAGGAAAAGCTGCTCGATCAGGAAATACAGGACGTCGTTCCGTGTCCGCGTGCCCACTATGTTCTCCTGCAGCCAGGTCTGCAGCCGTTCCCTGCTAAGGGCCCAACCCACGTCCCAGCTGCGGCACTGGTGGTGAAGCAGCTGTGCAGCCATCTCTGTGAAATACCTTTGGGACTAGCTGATTTTAACAGACGTGGGGGGCTTCCTTCCTGACCTCAGAAGGTGACAGAGCAGCGTCTAGAAGCGCTGCCTGTCGCACCCAGAGTCGTGACACCCGCTGCCTTCATTCCCACAGGCTCGTAACGCTCTAACCCGACGCTCTCCAGCATCTCCTTAGCGGGGTCACCAGTGCGTAGGGCTGAAGGTTTAAATCAACGCATTCCGCTGGCTCCATTTTGAAGATTACTACATCAAAAGATCCCCCAAAGATCCTGCTGCAGAGGCAGTGTTTTGCCTCCTCGCTGTATCGGGGCGCACACAGGTGAAGGAAACACCGGTGGTCTTGGTGTTTCCATCCCTGCCTGCGTGCTCTCCGCAGCCATTTAAAGCGGCTCGTGTGATTATTTTTTTTTTGTTAAAAAAAAAAAAAAAAGAGATGCATTTATTGAAAACAAAACACTCGGCCAGGGGGCATGCACAGGCGTGTTAACCGGACAAACTTAAAAAACCCAACAAAACCAAACAGCAGCACAATGGGGGGCGGGGGGGCCCCTCCCGGCTGGCGCGGGGGGCTGGCGGCTCGCCGGGCGCCGTCTCCCGCTC